GTCAACATTTACGAATCTCTCGAGAATGATCATCACCAAAAAAGATAAAAGATCTTTATGCAATATACCTCTTTAATGCATAAATGGCTTGGATACGATCTGCTATATGAGAAAGTCTAGAAAAAAATCAGGTTCGATTAATGGTTATAAAGCGCCCGAACCATCACTATTGCAAAAATGATGAAGGTCATCCAACTCGATTTAGAATTTATAATGATACCTAATGCTTACTTTGCCACTAAATGAGAGTATCGGAATTAAGACGTATAAAAAAACACACAAAGCCTAAATAATTTAATTAAAGGTAGTGTCTTGTCGGTTATATTCTGCATCCATTTATTTTTTGAGGGATAATAAATCATAATCTTATCACCTAAGTCACCCAAATGCGATGAACTATAGAGTAATAAGGAGAATAAGTAAAATACATCCAAATAATCAAGGCAAATACCTGCCAAATTGTTAAAAGTATGAATCTTTGTGGTGTGCTACGATTCGGCATCATGATTCATTTACATCGAAGAAAGTAAAAAAATCCCTACATTGGATAGAGAGCTTTATAAAAAGCGTTTCGTTGTTGGCGGCAAGTCTCAAGAAAATAAAAATGGGTGAATCAGTGGAATAACTAGTTTCTGAGCATCATCGTCGCGATTATGTGCTTTTATAAAACAAACCAGAATGTAAAATTAAAAACATCGTTGTAACGATGTTCAGCGCTATCTAGATTTGGGATAATTCTATACAACGTTAAAGTACAGTACAGATTAAAGAGATGGTAGAACGATTAAGTATAGAAGCATCGGGACGAATCAGAAGTTACTATGAGTTGAAGATGAGCCGAGTATAAAAAGAATAAAAAGCATAGCTAACCAGTTCGGGGGTTTATCTCAAAATTTTCATCTGGATCCCCTTCGACTATAGCATATGTGAGGTGTTCATCGCTGTAATGAATTGAGTCAAAATCATGACCCAAGACTTGTGCAACATGGTGTCCATATGGAAGATTTTCTGGAATAAAGTAGCGATATTCGGGTGCAAGGGGCATTGGATAATTGTCATTGACATCTATGATCTAAAGAAGGATTGACGAAGAAATCAACAAAAGAATACCAGAAGTTTGATCATCCAATTATTTTTAAAAAAAACATAATTTGTCTGATAAGCTAGTAAAATTGAGGAAGCAACGGATACAATTTTTAATTATGAGATTTAGTCTCAGAACTCTGCTTATGTACGAACAATAGCTAATTATCTGTACATACTAATAAACTTTTATTTATAACTTTCCAGTTGTTGCTAAAAAATATTATAGTCTAGGAAAGCTATATACACTAAGTAATATGGCATCATAGAAAAGAAATGTTCTCTTTCAATTTTTCAACTTAGCCTAGAGAACCTGAGAACAAGTTTAAAGAATCGTTCAGTGAAAGTACATGCTCATATATGCCAAGGCTTCTTCTAGGGATGAATACATAAGTTACCGAGGCGATTATGACAGCACATCATCCAAATAGATGTGATGCATAATTAAGAGTAAATCAGATCTAAGCAGATGTTTCTATGAGAAATTCGCCAATAAGCAAATCAATCTAACGAAAATATTCACAAATGAAAATGACTTTCGAGTGAGTAACATAAACTGATTTACTGGTAGTCTCGAAACTCTATTCCAATACTAAAATACATAACGTAATTGCTATAGCAAATATACGTTTGCTTCATCGGCACTCCCACCAAAAGAATATGATATAGCAAAGAGGCCCGACCCTTCTAGCAATTCACTTATGCCCTGTGACTCAAGGGTACTCGTGGCAGTGTAGCCGAGTGGTTAGCGTGTCAAGCTCCCATCCTGCATTGCCGCGGTTCGACTCCCACTGAGGGTGTTGATAAGACCGATGCGAGGTCGAAACTGCAGTCCACTGTGGATTGATGTATAAAGCCAAGGTCCGCCCTCTCTACTACCTATTTCTGCAATCCCAATTACATTACTAAATGTTTGACGAATTTTGTTGAATAATGGTCCATTACTCCAAGGATGCTCGCCACGTGATGGAAAAAAGTTGGTTTCAAGTCTAGTGACATGACACCCTTGATTTGAAATATGATGGGCTTTTGATGATTTCTGTCACATAGAGAGCAAAAGTTCAGCAATTCAAAAATTCCGTAGACTCACGTTTTAAAACCGAGTGAAAAGTATAATAACATGATACTTGAGTTTACTCAGACCTGGAGATGAGACCAAGGATGGCCTTGGGTTTATTTACTTTTTCTAAATACTTGTCTAAGTCGCTCAAATGTTGATCCTCAGTTCATGTTTAAATGATGTAATACTAATAGACTACACTATAATAACATTTAGAAATTAATCATGTATTTAGGCACCTTTTCACATTTTTCATAATATTTAACAGATCAACATGACTTTCTGAGACAAATTTAACTAATTGCTTCTGCAAGTATACCAATAACGATGAGCAACTTATATTGAGTTGTGAGCCTTGAGGCAAGGAAATTTTTATTAGATGTCAGGCCGAAAATGATTCATGATATCCCACTATTTTGGAAAAACGAAAACACAAGAGCTAATATAATAATTGGTCTAACGAAATTTACCTTAGATGCTTGCAATTAACAATAGAGCAGCCTTAACAGCATCCAAAATAAGAATAATCATACCGATGAGGCCGATTGTGGGTTACTAATATACCTAATAAAATGAATGGTATTTATTACATAAAGGATTAGGGCAAAAATCCAAAATATGTACATTCAGGCATAAAATATTGAGATGTATTAACCTTGGTCAAAGAAAGCATAGGATAAAATAAAATGAAGTGACTATGATTTTCGAGTATAAGAGTGAGCTAAACTTTATAAGTGGCTGCTAATATTAAAATTAGTACAGAACGAAGAAAGATAATCATACCTGAATGAAAACCTCAGCTATAGCTTTAAGGGGACCAGCAGTCTCAGTTGAGACAACAAGCTGAGAGATGCTGTAATTAAGAGGCGTAAAGTGCTGGCCTGAATGGCCATAAGGGACTTCCAAGGCCTGAACAATAAGCCAACAGCCACCTGACTCCGTAGCGAATGATTCCGCATCCAGGATAGTGTTGGTACGAATGATGCCTGGCAAAATATAACAGAAGTAGATAAAGCATAATTAAGAATATGATTGGGAATAAAAGGCATGTCAAAATATAAGCAGCTAAATTTGTTATTGCGGCTCAAAACTAGAAAATAATGAGAGTTTAGAAACTTACAATGAATTGTTGTAAATTGAAAAGGCAAGATAAAATGACAATAGTTATAGCCACTTTAGTGATGAAGGAAAGACAAATGAAATTCTAAACAATAATCTGAAGAGGTTGCTTAACCTTGTTTTCGCAACTTGGTCATATTTGTAGGAAGACTTAGAGGAACGCACTAGTCCGGAGTCCATTGTATGCATCATCATTTCCAGAGTCGGACGGTGGACGTGGTACATTCCATGACGTTTCGCCAACATCGTAAGTGAGTCTTGCCATTCTTAGCATCGCACAACTCGTCAAAGAGACAAGTGAAGCCAATCCTTTAACCAAACGTGTGCTAAAAAGTTGTGGTACCTCCCCTTCTGCCCA